GGGAGGGATTGCTCTTTTAAAGGCCTTCGGATGGTCCTACCAATAAACACTGCAATATTGTTATAAAAGCCTTTTCCAATGGTGATTCAGCTTTTTGATATGTACTTGTAACCTCAAGGCCCTTTGATATCTAACAGATTGGTGTTTTAATGCTGGCCGAACCTCAAGTTTACTTATAGTTTCAGTAATGCCTTTGAAAGTGAACTTTTTGCAGTTTTAAGTTCAGTTTTACACACTCCGTGCCATCAGACACTCACAGCACATCATTGAACCAGACAGCTTTGTGTAGTGTGCCCCATTTTACAAAAAACAAAAGCAGCTTCTGTGACTCAGCTCTGATTTCACACCTGCCATCCAGCCTGCTCAGCCTTTGGCTTCACGACCTATCAGCAGTCTCAGGTGACCATCTTTTTTTGCTTTGAGATTTATTTATTTGAAAAGTTATGTGACAGAAAAAATTCTTCCTCCCACTGATTCATCCCATATGCCTGCAGAACCAGGACCAGACCAGACCAAAACTAGGAGTCCAGGAACTCCATCCGGTCACTCAGATTGGTGACATGGCTCGAGTGCTTGAGCCGCCGCTGGCTGCCTCCCAGGTGCATCATCAGGAAGCCTGTGCAGGTGCTGGTGTCAACCACGTGGTGGGTCAGCCTGCAGCACCACACTGGCCCCATCATCATTTTTTTAAAACGGTGGTCTTCATTGATCTTTGCAACATCCCAAATAGTGACTTAGTTCCTTGAAAGTGTTGTAAATCTAGGAATCTGTCATTTCCATATTGATGACAGATGCTTTATAAGTGCTGGAATCCTGATGGTGAAAATGGGAATGCTGAGGGTACAGCATTCAAGCATTGTTTCAGATTTCCTCACCTCCTGATTATGCTTAAGAAAATATCAGTGGGGATCAACTTGGAGACATCAAGCATAACAAATATGAATTTTCTTAAAATTGTTCTGGTCTCTTTTCAGTGATAAACTTTGGAAATCTTGTGCACCAAGGATTCTGATTGTTAATCAAGTCTCCCCAGATGTCATGAGCTTGTGTCACAGTCAGAGTAGATGGGCCAGTCCTGTGCCTGTGGCTGCTCTGACAGGCGACACACACTGGCTGTGACAGTGCAGCAATTGCCCTGTTTACAGCTGTTCTCTTGCTTTTGTAAACTGTGTATTCCAGTGGGTGCCACTGTAAAATAAGACAGTCAGAACTAGATCCAGAAGGAGTGTTCTATACTCTGAGGGTCTTCATTTTTGAAATTCGAAACAATAGGTAAACGACATTTGAAAACGATGCAGACAAGGCTGCGAGGCATTGTGTCCGTAGCGCTTCTCCTCGTGGGGGCGGCGGTGGAGGTGCCGCGCAGGGTTATGCTAAGGCACATACTCCACACTCCATGTCTTAGTTTTCAGCTCTCATTTTAAATTTTATAATTCAATCATTTTGAGCAGCTATGTTCAAAAGAAGTTTTACAACTTTAATCTTAATAATCTCAGAAAAAGCAGACATGGGCTGTCGTAAAATAACTATTAGTGGCTAGTTTGTGTCCTATAAATCTAACTCGAGTTGATAATATGGTCCATTACCAGCTAACTGCAGAGAGTATTTTTCATTTTACACTCTTCAGTTACTTTTTAGTGAAGTGTTAAAAAATATGAAGCTTTTCTCCTCTCTAAAATTGCACGCTGTCTGTCTGTTATTAGGGAGATAACAGCTCTTATAAATGTTTCAGTAAGCGCTAAGTAGACAGTTATGTGCGCTCTCATTCCACGCTTATTTGCTTACTGTAATAAACTGATAAAATATGTGTGGTTTGTCTCTGGGTATCTGCAGGCATCATGAGTCACATAGATTTCCTTTAGAAATAATGTTGTGTCTGCAGAATTGATTGCTTATTTTCATAAACCATCTAAAGGTACACAAACGGCTTTTATGATTTGAACGTATGCTGTGTGAAGATTTGTGGAGGATCATCCCATTGTTACATGGTGCTTCTTCCTTCTCCGCTCTTGGGGGAGGCTTTTTCTTTCAGAATTCCTTTGGTTACTGACATAAGTGCCTCCTCAAGAATGACAGGGGGTGACCCGTATCATTTGCTGATAACACAGCCGAATCGTTAATTCTGTGAGCATTACACGTTAATTAAATCAAAATTAATGTTTTATACCATTTACACAATCTTTTTTAAAGTAATGCTTATACCTAAAACTATGTATTGCAAGAATTAACATTTGTATCCTAGAAACTTTTCTGGGTAATGAGTTCTTTTTGTATGCCTTTTGCAAATAAGAATTTTATTTGTTTACATTGGTATATAATAGAAATCCTTCCCTCAGGTCATCTTAAAACCAACAATGCTAATGTTGATAAGCTGTGCTGACTACCACCGGGGTACTCCTATGAAGCATAACATTTAGCAGTAGTGTTATAATTGCATAATTAGCATCAAATCAATGCTAGTTGTCACCAACAGCAGTCATATTATTTGAAAATCCTGATGATCGTTTTAAATAATAAAATTTTATTTTAAGTTTTGCAAATGGTGAAATTCTGTTTTACTCATTGAGTACAAAAGTGGAGAGTAGATGAGAATACAATAAAAAAATTTGTTTATATATGTTTAAAGAAGTTGTTGATCGCTTTTGGAGAAAGAACAGGAATCAAGTCAGAGAGATAATTGGGCTGTGACTCCATGGCTAACACCGGGGCGAAGCTGTGGGTCAGAGCTGAGCCAGGATGTCTGGAGAAAACGGGCCGAGGAGCCGTGCAGGCAGCACAGCTGATGTGAAGGCTCCCCAGGTCCGCTTAGCCACGGAAGTGACGTCATGACGGGCAGCCTAACAGGCTTTTTCAGGACTGTTTGTGTTTTGCTGTCTCTACTCAGAGGGTTTTGAACAGAGGAGCATGACATGACTATATTTTCACTGATGAGTTCTGGATGCAACCCTCGGAGTAGACTGGTCAGAGTCGAGCATCTGTGTGCCATCTGGAATGGAAGCAAGGAGAGCCTGAAGGAGGTGGGGGAGAAGCCAGGGAGCCCACATGGCTTGGTAAGGGAGGCAGTGAGAAGCAGTCAGGATTTCTGCGGTTCATTCAGATGACTCCTCACGCTGACTGGCAGCGCTCACCACGCTGGGGCTCTCGCTCGGTTCTCTGAAGCTGAACTCTGGAGCACTGGAATACTTTGACTTTTCTCTGCATTGTTCTACCTAGTACAGTGGTTGCCACAACTAATTCCATAACAGGTGAAACAGTGAATTAATAAATTCATGATTAGTAATGGTTAATGCAATGCTCTTCTTGGAGATAGAGTCCCAAAATCCCTAATTCTTCCTGAGACCAGCTTTCTCATCGAGAGGCTCATGGGACTCCTGGAGCCGGAGGGCAAGAACGGCAAGCTGTACTTGTTGGTGTGGACCTTGCTTTCCGACCCCAGGAAAGGACTCCAGTGAGTTGGGAATATCAGCCACAACAAGCTGCTGGTTGAAGCCTGGCTTTACCTCGGGACATGGCAGGTCCAGTCGTTCCCTCCAGCCCGGGGCAGACCCAAGTGCTTGGCCTCACCGTCGTGTCTGCCAACCCTTGAGGGAAGGGCACAGGAGACCGTCCTCTCCTCCTCCAGCCTTTACCCCGCCTGTCACTGCCCCGAAACCTCACTGCGCCCCATCAGTGGGGGACTGGGGGACATGAGTGATGGGAGCACAATGTGAGGGGCGCAGGAGACCGTCTTCCCCTCCTCCCAGCCTTCACCCCGCCTGTCACTGCCCCGAAACCACTGCGCCCCATCAGTGCTGGACTGGCGGACATGAGCGATGGGAGCACAATGTGAAGCCACTTAAACAGAAATTCAAAAGATGATGTTTGGATTGGTGAACAAGTATTATTAGTCATTGTTGGTACACAATACTGTCTTTTTTACAAAAGGTTTATTTTTCTTGGAAAGGCAGTTATATAAAGAGAGACAGAGAGGAAGATCTTCGTCCAATGATTCACTCCCCAAGCGGCTGCAACAGCTGGAGCTGAGCCAATCCGAAGCCAGGAGCCAGGAGCTCTTCCGGGTCTCCCACGTGGGTGCAGGGTCCCAAGGCTTTGGGCTGTCCTTGACTGCTTTCCCAGGCCACAAGCAGGGAGTTGGATGGGAAGTGGAGCTGCCGGGATTAGGACCGATGACCATATGGGATCCCGGCGTATGCAAGGCGAGGACTTTAACCACTAGGCCTTTGCGCTGGGCCCCTTTCAGTACTGTCTTACAGTTCATTTACCCAAGAACATGATTTTGCTGTTAAAACCAGTAGGAAGAGCCAGTTACATGATGGAACAGGCTAAGCCACCGATTGCGTTGCTGGCATCCCATAGGAGTTCTAGCTCGAGTCCTGGCTGCTTCGCTTCCTTCCTGTCCAGCTCCCTGCTGATGTGCCTGCGAAAACAGCTGAGAATGGTCCAAGTCCTTGGGTCCCTGCAGCCACATGGGAGATTCAAGCAGCTCCAGGTTCCTCGCTTCTGATTGGCTCAATGTCAGACATTACAACACCTTGAGAGTGAGCCAGCAGATGGAGACCAGTCTGTCTCTCCTTCGCTCTGTGTAATTCTGCCTTTTGAGTAAAAATAAATCTTAACAATGATTAAAAAAAAAAAAAACGAAACTAGTAAGAAAGCAAGATGACCAGATACACAGCATTAGCGAACAATCTACCCAAAACTAGAAACTCGTTAAAAACATTGACTGTTAACGATATTTATCTCTTCTTAGTAGGCTCATATTGTCAAAAATATTTTTTTATGTTGTGCCTGAAGAGCACAAAAAGTATATTGTTGTAAGGCATTTATTTTGCATGTTTGTCATTCCTGACTAGTACCTGTGTGTGATAGCCTCCTAACGCGGTTATCCTGGTTTACACAATGCTCTGGGGAAAGCCAGAGAGAATATCAGAAACGTTTGCTGCTTTTCTAGAATTAGTAACTTTATTTACGAATACTTTTTCTTTTCCCCCGTGCAATAGGTCAGCTCTCCTGTCTTTGTGCCAGTGAAAACTCATATGCTGCTTCACCGGATGAGTGGGAAAGGACTGGCGGCCCATTACTCCTTTCCCAGGCAGCCTTGCCTCTTTGGTGCTAAGATGGTCTCTGTTCAGATAACACTGGATAATACTACTGACCAGAAGATCGAGAATATCCACATCGGGGAAAGAAATCTCCCTGCTGGCGTGCAGATGCATGTTTTCAACCCCATAGGTAAAACACCGCTTCTCCTTGAGAGCCTTAGCCGTGTGTGGCAACCCAACATTGCAAAGTAGCAAAACAGAATGCTGTTGTGTTGGGTTTATTAGCATTCGCTTGACATTTGTTTTCTCTTTTAAGCGGGAGTGGTTATGTAACATAAATCTTGCACTCGGGTCACAGGCTGTAAGAGACGGTCTAGCTGCCGGAGCCTGCGTGTGACGCCGTCATCTGAGTTGCCCATCGCTCGCAGGGTCCGTCGCCTTCCCTGCGTGCGTGTGGGGGTTGCTTGCAGAGAAACAGCAGAAAGCGCGGCTCTGAACTGCACACTCCTGTATCCTGAGGTCCTTCTCTGGAGAAAGCGAAGGGAGCCGAGACCAAATGTTTTCACTTGTCCTTCCTCTCCAGGAACAGAACAGGAACTAAACCGTAACGACAAGATTCAGCCACGTTGTCTTTTCAAATATGTTTTATATTTAAAAAAAGAAGGATAGGAACCTCCCTTATCTTGGGACAGAGTGTTGCCCACGCAGGGGCCTGGGTCGGAGTCTTGCCCACGCAGGGGCCTGGGATGGAGTCTTGCCCACGTAGGAGCCTTCTGGCGCACAGCAGGTGTCCTGTCGGAGTGTGCTGTTGGCAGCCTCTGTGCCACTTCAGGTGCGACATCTCCCAGCCAGGTGTCACTGGCCATTGGTTCTTAAAGTATGCCTTTCAGAAAGGGAAAGGACATGGTAGCTCAGCCAGCTAAGCTGATGCCTCCCGTGCTGACGTCCATAAGGGAGCAGTGGTTTGAGTCCTAGCCACTTCTCTTCTGCTCGTGTCTCTGGGAAGGCAGCTTGGGCCCTGCGTGCAGGGACACCCTGATAGAGCTCTAGGCCCCTGGCTTTGGCCTCCATCCCACAGCTGTTGTAGCCATTTGGGGAATAAACAAGCAGATGAAAGATCTCTGCTTCTCTCTTACTGTGTCACCTTACTTGTCACATTATCTTTTAGATGCATCTTTAAAGAAAACTTTATATGTAGCAGTTGTGTATCTTACCTTGAATTTGATATAGTATTGAGTGTATCTGTCTCTGTTCTTTGTGGATTTTTATAAGTAGGGACAGTCCTAAGGTTTAATTGTGGGAAACTTCAGGCAAACCTGATTTTTTTAAAAATCATTTTTATTGAGAAGACATTTACAGAGAGAAGGCTAGACAGAGAAGATCTTCGGTGCACCAATTCATTCCCCAAGTGCCCTGGCCCCTGCATCTCAGTGCAGGTGTCCTGCCTGGTGTCAGGGGCCCACGTCCTTGAGCTGCCAGCTGCAGCCTCCTAGGGGGCCGTCAGCCAGAGGTGGGATTGGGAGTGGAGCTGTGGGATGCAGCTGCCCACACCATGTCTGAATTAGTATGAACTCAGATTTCTGAGGCAGACTCTTTTAACTCACAGCTGTTCCATTTTTCTTCATCTGAGTTCTGTGGTGTTAATAAATTTTCTCTTCTTGCAAGCCTAGGAATAAAGGAAATCATTCTTTGTATTCTTTCACGAAGAAATAAAGCAATTTCTAGTAGATAATGCCTTACGCACCAGTTTTTTACAGTAGACTTGTAGAGGCACCAAAGCTAACGAGCAGTCAAGTTAAAGCAGGCTAATTTCAGAATCCATTTGATATGTTTTTTTTTTTTAAGATTTATTTATTTTTATTACAAAGTCAGATATATAGAGAGGAGGCAAGATAGAGAGGAAGATCTTCTGTTCGATGATTCACTCCCCAAGTGACCACAACAGCTGCTGCTGTACTGATCCGAAGCCAGGAGCCAGGAATCTCCTCCAGGTCTCCCACATGGGTGCAGGATCCCAAGGCGTTAGGCTGTTCTTGACTGCTTTCCCAGGCCACAAGCAGGGAGCTGGATGTGAAGTGGGGCTGCCGGGATTAGAACTGGTGCCCATATGGGATCCCGGTATGTTCAAGGCAAGGACTTTAGCCGCTAGGCCATGCCACCGGACCCAATATATGTTTTTCTTATATTTTGTTATTAGATACAGATATCCAGATATCCTGATTTTTATATTTGTATGAGAGTAGTAATATATGCCAGTTTTGGGGTGTTGGTGGTTAGTAACAATAACCTATTTAATAAGATTTTGATTTAAGAAGTATCATAGCTGATGTGTGAATTGTTTAACGTTGAAATGTTACCTAAAGGGGCCAGACATTGTGGCACAGTAGACTAGGCCACTGCCAGCACTGCCAGCATCCCATATTGCAGTGTTGGTTTGAGTCCCAGCTACACTTCCCATCTAGCTCCCTGCTATTGTGCGTGGACAGCAGTAGAAAACGGCCCACGTGTTTGGGTCCCCTACCACCCCTGTGGGAGACCCAACCAGAGTCCCTGATTGACCGCTGTGGCCTGGCCCTGGGGTGTGAGGAATGAGCCGGCAGATGGAATCTCTGCTCTCTCTAACTCTGCCTTTCAATTAAGTAAGTAAATATTTTCAATTTTTTAAATGTCACCCAAAAGTCAAGACAATTAAGCAGCATTCATGTCCTCAGCATCAACATAATGAAGGTGAATTGATCCCCCATTTGACAAGTGTGAACTAAAAGAAATAAATATAACAGTTGTGTGATGTGGCCTTAACACAGAGTCCAGCAGGCGTGTGTGTCACTGCTGTGTCACTGCCGTGTGTCACTGCCGTGTGTCACTGCCGTGTGTCACTGCTGTGTCACTGCCGTGTGTCACTGCAGAGTCCAGCAGGCGTGTGTGTCACCTTAACATGCAACAACAGAAAAATAGTGCCTTTTTGTTTTCATGAAATGAGGTAGCTGAAATGCTTGTTTCGTATGTTAGGTGTATATGCACATGTTAAATCTAACAGCTCTCTCATTTTTCACTAGTTTGTTTTCTTTTCATGTGATAACATATACTGTCTGAATTCTGTCCTGCCTTCCGTGTGAAAGTGGATTTTCTGCAATGTTAGCAGTAGTGGGTTATTTTTCCCAAAGAGATCAAATATAAAGGAGATTTTTTTCAAAAGATTATTTATTTGAAAGAGCTACATAGAGAAAGGGAGAGAGAGAAAGAGATCCTCCATTCACTGGCTCATTCCCTAGTTGGCTGTATTGGCCAACTCTTGGCTAAACTGAAGTCGTGAGCCAGGAGTTCCACCCAGGTCTCTCGTAGGTGGCAGGGACCTAGGCTGTTCTCTGCTGCTCTTCGCAGACCTTTTGTAGGGAGCTGGATGGGAAGTGGGGCAGCCATGCCAGATGGTTCTCGTTTGGGATGCCAGCACCATAAGCAGCAGTTTTACCTGCTACATCATAACAAGGGCACTCTGGGATTTTTTAGGGGCGGGGAGAAGGCAGATATACCAAAAGATGAGACAGAGGCCTTCCATCCGCTGGCTCGCTCCCCAGGTGGCCCAATGGCCAGACATGAGCCAGCAGGAAGCCAGAAGCTTCTTTGGGCTCCCACACAAGTGCAGGGTCTCAAAGCCTTGGGCGATCTTCCACCACCCTCCCAAGCCAGAAGCAGGGAGCCAAATAAGAAGTGGAGCAACTGGGACACAAACCTTTGCCCATACGTGATCCCAGCAGGTGCAAAGCATGGATTCAGCCATTAGGCTATCATGAGGGACCCACCCTGAGATTTTTTTTGACAGCAAGAATAGCCTTAAGCACCCTGCTTTATGATTTTGTTAACTTCAGTGCTTGTAAGATTTCACCAATTACATACAAATAGATGGCATCCTGTGTGGCTTCATTTTCCATTATTAATGATGTGGTGTCCTGGAAGCAGTGCCTTCCAGCCATCCAAGCACAAAGCAGTAAATCTGGAGGTAGAATCCAAAGGAGAGTCTCCTAATTGGGTAAGCTTCCTCAATTTAGTTGTATGAATAATTTTAAGTTGATGATTTTGCTCTTCAAGTATTCATATAATAAAACACACCATTGACTGTGAACTGTGCTCCAGGATTAGCTCTAGAGACCGAGACCGCGTCTGACACTGCAAAAGACTGCTGTCAACACAGCTCCTAAGTGCTATCCTTTGTAAAAAAAAAAAAGAAAAAAGGAAAAGGAAAAAACACACACACACAGTGCTCAGTGCAGAAGGCTCTGAATCACAAATCCCTCCTATTCTGATGGTATGGCATCTGCTTCCAATGTGTTGACATGAATAAGAGCAAACCTCGGTGTGTTTATGGCACAGAGGAGGGTAGTACAGATGTACCATGACTGACAGGGCTGTGAGCTGATGTCTGTAACTTCAGGAAATCAGAAAGCATGGGCGGTAGTGGTCTACCCTAAAGCACAGCAGATTTGTCAAAAGCATAGACAGCAACTTTTCTGGTACTTGTGTGGCAAACTGAAAAGAATAACTCTGTAAACAAAGAAAATCCAAGCTAGGATCAGCAAACTGACATACCGCTGAGCAACCCAGTGGCATTTTATTTTTATTTTAAAGATATATTTATTCACTTTGAAAGCCAGAGTGACAGGGCGAAGAGATAGAGACGAGAGAAAAACTTGGTCCACCCCACCAAATGTCTAAAAAAGATGGGCCGATGCCCGGAGCCCCTGTGACCTCCTCCTTGAGTAGGCCGTCATTGCAGAATAGGCAAAACTGCAGCAAGGCACCCTGGTCTGGGACGCAGGCCTCCGGAGAGAGAGCTTGGAGATGCCAGGCTGGCACCTGCCCCGACAGCTCCCTGCGGTCAAGCCTGTGAGAAAGAAATGGAATTCTTCTGTGTTTACTTGAAAGGCAGAGGTGCATACAGAAAGAAAGAAGCAGAGAGAGCGCTTCCGTCCACTGGTTCATGCCCAAGTAGCCACGCACACCAGATCCGTGTCCGACCAAAGCCAAGTGGCAGGAGCTGCTCTGATCTCCTGTGCAAGAAGCCAAGCTCTGGGCTGCTCTCCGCTGGTTCCTGCTAGGTACATTACCGGAAGAGGAGCAGCTGAGGCTTGAGCCAGTGCCCATTTAGGGTACTGCCATCTCAGGAGGCAGCCTTGCCTACTTGCCACAACACCAACCCCTGAAAGAAAATTTCTCAATATCAAGTACATTTAATTATTATCGTGTCCCATTGACACCATCATTTGTCGAGGTCTGTTGTAACTGGAAAGCCATACTAGCCAGCACGCCATGGGATAGTCAGTTCACTGAATTTGAAGTATACTTGTTAAAATAAACTACATTTGACAAAACGTAGGGGGAATGTAGGCCTAAGCTGTGACACTGACGCAGTTTCCCCTAGGCGTCTGTCGTGTGGGTGTGTGCTCAAGATGCTTCGTACTTGCTCTGGATCTCAAGGCTTTGCATGGCAAGAATGAAGTGCTGTTTTTTGTCTTTACTTTTATCATCCTTTGCTGAGAAAAAGAAACAGTGTTTTGTGCTAGTTCCCACACTTGGTTAGTTGATAATTGAAGCTTCAGAAATTCCAGATCTATAAATTGTCACTTTATTATTTATTTAATCAAGATAATCAACCTCTGAATTTTCCTTGAGTGCTTCTTGAAATAATTGAGATACATTTATTGTACTTTCCATTATGTCATTCATCAGTTAATTTTGGAAGAATGTCTTAATTTCTTCAAACTTTGCTTTCATTTACATTTCTAAATTTTGACTATTTCTGCCCTGAGAATTTGGAAGATTATGTAAAATGTTCTTTTTTGTAACTAGATATTTATCCCACAGTTTTTAATTCATAAGCCAATACAAACTCCCAACAGTTTGCTATGTACTCTAAGTAAGAACACGTTTATTCCCTTGTAGCTTTCATAGTCTGTACAGGCAGTATTGTAGCACATGAAATCTCACAGGAAGGCATATTTTTCTGAAACAAACAGATAATGCTCTTTTCAGTGACATCATGTAAAAAAAGAAAGAAGCCTTTAAGCCCAACAGTGTTTGTTTTGTTGTTGTCAGTCGGCCCTCTTGCCCAGCCTCCTCATTCTCGTGTCGGAACTCTCTTGTCTCCTAGCCTCTCTGGAGCCCCAGGGATCCGTCACTGTCTCCATGGGCATCGACTTCTGCGACTCCACCCACACCGCCAGTTTCCAGTTGTGGTAAGTTCCCTTCTGGACTTTGTGCTGCCTGGAAGGGAAACCGGAGGGAAGCTGGGCTTCCAGCAGCCTTTCTCTGGGAGAGGCGCAGTGGGTAGAGTGGTTTCCCTGACGGCGCTGGGATCAGGGCAGCAGGCCTCACGTTGTGCTGCTCAAGTGTGCTGTACTTGTGGCCCTTTCTGTCTGCATGGTGATCCAGGCAACTGCGAAGTTGTTATTCTTACTTAGCCTTTTTAACCAGTTTTGAAAAATACGAGTGGGTAGCTGAGATAAGATACATTTAAAGACATCTTGAGCCTCTGAAGTATGATTGTATTGATTCTGCCAGGACCTAAACTTAGACGTTTCCCCGCTTTGTAATTTATGAACAGAGTTTGCTGAAAATCAAAAGAGAACATCTGCACAGTGGACCAAGGTTTTACAGCTAGACACTGTTCAAAAGGAGGTGGTTGTTTTTCAGGATTAGGTTTTGTTGTTGTTACTGTTTTTATGTGATGTTCTATACACTTCTGATGAGGTATACTCTGGCATCAACATCAGTACAACACTACATTCGTGCATTATTAAAACTCAACTCCCTTATATTTTTCCGATGTGGGCTGCAATTTATTTTGCATTGAAATTGCTTTGTTTTTATTCTTTAAAAGGGGAACCATTTATCTGAATTTTAGCTAGCTTAAAACGAAATTTTTGTTTTAAATTCTTCCAAGTTTACGAAGTAGACATCTTGAAAGATATTTATAGGTTTTCACATTTTTGCCGTGTGCCTGTAGCTCCATCCTGATGTTATGTCTTCCGTCGCCAGGAGCCCAGCGGTGAAGAGAAGCAGTGTACCATAACACATTGATTTTATGCAGATCGTCACCTTTATGTTTTGGGAGGTCTGCTGTATTAGTGATATATAAAAACTGATTACTTTGCCTAACATTGCCTAGTAATTGTTTATTATTTTTCTATTAGACAAACAACGCAGATCAATATTACTGAGCGCCAATGACTATGAGCAACATCACTCTAAATAGCTCTGCCTCCACACCAGAGGTGTATTCGTTTTAATGATTTGGACAATGTGAACCCAATGACACAGCTCCCGTGCTAACTTACACCAAAATTAAGAACTAAAAAGCAGTTACTTGCCTTTTTGATTTTTATATAATTGAGTGGGAAGTTAAGTGTTTTTATTTTGTTTTCCTTTTACTATCCATTGGACAGGATTTGTGTCTTGTCTTTCACTGTTCATGAAGCTGTTTTGGGAGTAAGCTTGCAGAATTATTGTTTTTGTTATTTTGAGGAGTATATATGAACTACTTTTTCTCATTTTCTCTTACGTTAATTTTAAGAAAATAAGAAATTTATTTCACAGAGAAGTAACCTTAGCTATTGTAAGAATATTTTTCTGTTCTAATGATATATTTTATTTTAGACTCTGTTAAACATAACAGTGTACTAGATCAAAAATTTTTGTGTGTATATTCCAAAAAGAGCACTTTGTCTTACATCAAATGTAATTGGTCCTGAAGCAGTGTAATCACAATTACTCACTGTCTTAATTGGCCTGCCCAAAATCAGAAAATGGAAACCGATCGACAGTGTTGAAATCAATAGCTTCATTGTGGTGCTGGTGGGGGCAGGGAGCGGGTAGTAATGGGGAGATCAATTGGCCTTGGGTGCCAGTCACTGGCTGCGCCTCTTGCATGGTAAGTAGCTCTTTTTGCTTAGTGATGTGCTGTATTAGTCTTGGTAGTTCAATAAGAAGGAAGAAGCAAAATGGCTGATATTGAATTTTTTCCTTGAGGTACGCTATATGAATCGATACATAAAATTATGGGTAATAAGAGCATATTTGATACAGAGCCTTCAGCAATGCTGAGAACATAGAATGCCTGCCTTCCAGACATTCTGTTTATGAGAAGAAAAGAAACAAAATGTTCCTCCTTGAGCATCTAGATTAATTCTGTATCACTATGTTGTATTGAGATACATTTAGGACACATATAGTTATGGGTGTACCTTTAACCAGTCATGGGTACTTTATGCACGCATGTGGTTCCAGGTGTACTTTATGCACAGTGTGGTTCCAGGTGTACTTTATGCACACATGTGGTTCCAGGTGTACCTGTGAGCAGTCATGGGTGCTTGGTAAACATTGCTGTCTCCTTTTTGTTCTAGATTTTAAGAGGTCAAGTTGTGTTCTTGATTGGGTCATTGAGGTTGAAGTTGTGTGTGGGTGTGCATGGACATGGCTCCAGAAGATGGCTCAGTGCAGGCCGTTCTCTTAACTGTATTAACTTTATGAGAAAGTAGTATTACTTGACTCAAATGAGACAACTGAGCACTTGGAGCCACCTTTCCTTTTGTCCAGAACAACATTAAAGAAAAAAATGCATTTTAAAAAAGGATGAATGCTAAAAAAAAACAAGAAATGTTAGCTGGCTAGAAATTGACAAGTTGAAAGTAACTGGAAACAGTAGACAGGAGCAGGAAATAGAAATCACAGGACAGAACGCCGTGGGGAGATGGCAGTAGTGGCAAGAACAGATTGCGTTCTGTCGAGCAGCAGGTGAGTGCGTGAAGGCTTGGAGGCTTACTGCCTTTGTCAGGGAGCCAACAAGCTTCCAGCCCCTTGCTCTACGACCTCGACTGGTGGCACACAGCAAAGTGCCAATCCCAAGAATAGCATTTTAAAGAAAGGGAAACCTTTGCCTGGAAATGGCTTTGAGACGGATCAGGGGAACCTGTGGGAGTCGGGCTCGTGCAGAGGAGACAAGGGCAGTGGGAAATGAGGGAGCACTGTTCTCCCCAAGAGTGGAGTAGTGCTCTGCACCCCTTGCACTGTCCTGATGGGGAGGAAAGGCCCTGGCCTCCCGCTGCGCATGCACGACTAGCGCGTTACCCACTAAGCCGGCTGGCCGCCTGGGGAGGAGACTGTAGTGACCATGGTGTTGACATTGGGCAGGGGGAGATAGTTTGAGAAGTAGATTAAAAAAGAACATTTTCCTAAGGCAGGAGAATCGCGCAAACCTTCAAACACCCATCAGAAACCCAGGGAAGACTTTGAAGGGCCCACAAGCTGGTGAAACCCTGGGAAAAGAGAAGGGCACCAATACCTTGCAAAACAGAGCACAGAGCAGCTTCCCTCTGAGCTAAGGACGTGTGCGAGGTGCGGAAAGTGGCAGTTGTAAGGTGGGAAGGTGAACACACTGTACACACTTGTGAAGCAAGCGCACTGTGCATTTGAGAATGGGTACCCCACATGGAGAAACACCCACTACAGGTGGCCGAGAGGACTGCCCTGAGGGAGGAGGTGCAGGGCGAGGAGCGGGTCGGCTACCCGTGCTGCACCTCCAGCATGGCTCCAGCCAGAGGGCGCTCCTCCTAACCCCCCAAGATAATATGAAAGAGGACCATCGGAAATAGTGGAAATTTAACGGGCAGTAGCTTCAGACTGCTAAAGGGAGGAGGAAGAGGAGCAGTGAAGCGTTAGCCAGCTTGTCCAGGGGAGAGGAAAAAGCATGGCAGAGAAGACACCCTAATATCGGCTGCTGTGATTAAGGGAAGACAACACATAGGAAGGTCAGAAAGGAGAAACTCTCACAGACTACAGAAGAATGCAGTGTATAACTTTATGCCAATACATTGAAATGTTTAGACGAAAATACTGCTTCATGGAAAATGTAGCTGAGAAATATAGTTCTATCAGAACTTCTAAAAAGAGCTTGTATTTGTATTGTTTAAATTTTCCTAAAGCAGACAGCAAGGAAGGAAGTCGCCCCACGACAGCCTGCAGGTCCGAGGCCCCTGAGTGCAGTGCCCCAGGATCGCCCATGGGAAGTTCATGGGCTTCTCGTTCCCTCCCGGGCCTGAGCCACTCGGGAGGAGTTACCAGTGTTCTAAACAGAGAAGGAAGCTCTAACCAATACAGAGTGAAAACAGTTGGCTGTGTAAATCCTGGACAGGAAGATAGAAAATTTTAAGTGTTACTCAATAGAATTATTAACTACAGAAAGTCTGAGAATCAACCAAAAAAAGCTTGTTTTTTAATCTAGAAGAGCTTAGGAATACGGTACACACATTCATCTAAAGGGAAAACAACTGGGACTTTTCTAAATGCCATTAAAGAATGTAAAAAGATTGTGACTGAACAGGCCAAGTCGCCAACTTCAGTATGGATCCGACATGGGCAGAAATCCAGGCGCCTGATGCCCCACTTCCAGCTCCCACGGGTGCTCCTGGGCCCAATCCCTGAACCTGTGGGAAACTGGGATAGAACTCCTGCTTCCTGTTCCTTGCCTTGCCCCGCCACCAACCTTGTAGCCATTTGGGGTTGAACAAGTGGATGGAAAATATTTTCTCTCAAGCTCGATCTTTCAGATAAATAAATCTTTTAATATGAAATATATTCCTAAAGTGGAAACTATCTTCTGCTGTCTTCATATGTGAGTCAGCAGGGAGCAGTTGGGACTCAAATAGGCACTTGCATGAGGTGCTGGTGTCATGGGTGGCAGTATAACCAGTTGTTGACCCCATGTATTCCCTAAGTTTAAAACTGTGTGCCATAGGGCCCGGCGTGATAGCGTATGGTTGAGGTCCTCGCCTTGAACATGCCAGAATCCCATATGGGCTCCGGTTCTAGTCCCGGCAGCCCCACTTCCCATCCAGCTCCCCACTTATGGCCTGGGAAAGGCAATGGAGGACGGCCCAAAGCCTTGGGACCCTGCACCTGCGTGGGAGACCCAGAAAGAAGTTGCTGGCTCCTGGCTTTGGATCGGCGCAGCACCAGCCGTTGTTGCGGCCACTTGGGGAGTGAATCATTGGACAAAGAATCTTTCTCTCTCTCCTTCTCTCTGTCTCTTCTCCTCTCTGTACATTTGCCTTTCCAATAAAATAATAATAAAAAAAAAAAACTGTGTGCCACCTCAGACAGTATGGTGAAAGCTCGCCCCATCTCACTCCCTGCCACCTCCAGCGGATTTGTGACAGGGAGCTGCCTGGGGATGCACAGTGTCCCTCCACAAGCCATGCACCTCCCAGGAGGTCATTGATCTGGTCTGGCCTTGCCAGGGCAACCACAGGCAGGTGACCCAGAAATGATGCTATAAATATCCAAGTAGTCCCTCTCAGAAGGAAGCTTTCCCACCCTGCATTTGTCACTTAGTAACTGCCTCATTTATCACATCAGCTGCAGTGGTAACTGTGTGGCAGTGTTTGTCTTCCCATTATCTTTGTTTTTCTTAATTGTGGCCACAAGGCACAAGAGTAGTGAGCTCAGCAAAGGATATATCGGCAGGTGAATTCAGGGGCCGTGTGGCAGTGCTCCATGCCGTAGAGGGAAAACTGTGCAGCGAGTTGGACAGCGTGTTGGACAGCCTGGTGCTGGGGTTCTAGAATGTGTCTGCTCCTGCAGTTAGAGCCACTCTTCCCTCTTCATTGCTTATGACACATTTCCTAATTACTTATGTCCTAAACTTAGGCCTGCTGACTGCCCACCTAGAAGACAACCTCCTTCCCTTCTGCCACGAGCTGCTGCCTGGTTGGCATGAGCCTTAGTGACCACTCCTCGTCAGGGAAGATGCAGTGTCCCTTAGAAATGTCCGGAAGCCTTTCTTTAGGCAAAAAGAGCTGAAGGTAGCATAATACATGCAGCGGTCTCCTGACTTAAAATTGCAGGCGCTGCCAGTGTAAGCGTTTAGCAGGGGCTGATGTAGTGCAGCAAGGTAGGCAGCCGCTTGAAACACTGACACCTGCGTCAGAGTGCTGGCTTGGCTCTTGGCTGCTTCACCTCCGACTGTGCTCCCTGGTGGTGCTCCTGTGAACGCAGTAGAAGATAGAGCTGGTGCTGGGGTTCCTATTGCCACTGAAACTGTTGAATGTGTTCAATGTGTCTTGGCAAGAGGCTGCTCTGCTCTGCCACTGTCCATGCCTACAATGTCAGGATACACTTAAATAGCAGAATGATGGACTTCAGACTTGTTGTGAAGGACTGTACTATCGCAGTGATATGGGGGAAACAAGCGGAGAAAGGGTACGGAGCCTGTGGAACTCTATCATGGAGTAATAAATAAATAAATTTTTTAAATTACGTGTTTATTTGAAAATCCAAACTACATATAGAGAGAGGAATATCTTCTACGTGCTGGTTCACTCCTCAGATGCTCACAGCAGCCAGGAGCTTCCTCCAGGGACCTTAGCACTATACACTGCCCCTCCTCCTGCCGAGTGAGGCAGCCCTGCATCCAGACCGTCTCACACCTGCAGTTTCTTTTTCCAATCCTACTAGATCTTTGGGCTTAGGCCAGTCCAACTTGCTTTTTTTTTTTTAAAGATTTATTTTTTATTATTTTTTATTGGAAAGGCGGATATACAAAGAGGAAATACAGAGAGGAAGATCTTCCGTCCGATGATTCATTCCCCAAGTGAGCCGCAACGGCCGATACTATGCCGATCCGAAGCCAGGAGCCTCTTTGGGGTCTCCCACGCGGGTGCAGGGTCCCAAAGCCTTGGGCCGTCCTCGACTGCTTTCCCAGGCCACAGGCAGGGAGCTGGAAGGGAAGCAGGGCTACCGGGATTAGAACCGGCGCCAATATGGGATCCCGGGCGTGCAAGGCGAGGACTTAACCACTTGCGCCACCGTGCCGGGCCCCCAACTTGGCTTTTAAATCCCAAAGTAATCACACAGCCTATTGGGTCAAGCTCACATTCAGTAAATGTTTACTGAATTAATAAATTGTATTTAGTTGTGTGCTATGCATACAGTAAAAATGGGTTTTACATTCTTTCTTCCTGTGATGTTCACACGTGTTCCTTCCCTGCCCTTCACTGTGTGCCGTGTCTTTCCCGTGCTTACCATCGCGCATCTGCCCCGCTGGCAGACCACACGGAGAGCTTTGCTGCTGATAAACAGATTGAGGTCTGCTTGGCCGGGGCTTCCCTGCTCCATCCTCCTCACTTTGCCTCTTCAGCTGGATCTAAGTGTGATCCGGAGTTGCAGCTGCTGCCTGGCAGCCAAAAGACCAGCCAGCCTACAGGTCTGGGCCCTTAGGGTGAGTCTCTGGCAGATTCATGGCTTCTTCTGAACTATAAACACCCTTTCTGTGTTACACTGATTTTGGCCAATCAACCTAACTTCAGATTCTAAGGTAAAACAAAACAAAATGTTAATGCATTCTTAGTAATTTCTTAACACATGTTAATCACCAGGGTCTCTGAATAACTCTTGGAAAACAAGGGATTTTGCTTTTAAGAAAAGCCAGTTTTGGAGGCCAGGCACCATTGACCAACAGGCTAGTCCTCCACCTTGAGGCACTGGTATCCAATGGATTCACTTCCCACTGAGTCCCTGCTTGTGGCCTGGCGAGGCTGTGGAGAATAGCCCGTGGACTTGGAATCCTGCACCCAGTGTGGGAGACCGGGAAGGCTCCTGGTTCCTGGCTTCAGAGTGGCGCAGCTCCAGGCATTGGGGCCATTTGGGGGGTGAACCCGTGTGCGGAAGATCCTTCCCTCTCATTCTGACACTCTGTAAATCTACCTTTGCAATAAAAACAAAGATTTTTAAAAACTCCAAGTTTTTGTCTATACTTTTGAGAAACGGTGGGTGTGCGTTCTTGCTGCTTTTTTCAGTTCTTTAGTGCCAAATTAACTTCTGAGTATGAAGGAAACTGAAACAGGCAAAGAGAACAAAGAGTGGCAAGTGTCGGAAGGCAGCTTGATCTCATCTCCACGTTTATGGAAAAACACAATTGTCCCTGTGTGATAAGCTGTGGAGCACTGCTAGTGCTTGCTGTTTCCAAAAGCTCTCCGTCAGATGGCACGATTTACCGTAACTCTGTAGTTTGACTTACCAGAAAATATACGAGTGGCACAACATATGTATTCTTCTGAAAATACTGTGTTCTGAGTTTTTCTAAGTCTAATTTTAGCCAAGATGAGCCTCTACTTTATATACATAATATTCTGTGATCGCAATGCTTTAACTCTTAAGAAGAATGTCTGTCAAGAAAGCATTTAATCTGCTTTCATTGTGTTTTTTTCTTCCTTAGTACCAAAGATGATTGCTTCAGTGTTAATATTCAGCCACCTGTTGGAGAGCTGCTTTTGCCTGTGGCCATGTCAGAGAAGGATTTTAAGAAAGAGCAAGGTGAGAAGTTGCTGCAGTGTGCTGCGATGCACGTCTCTGCAGAGTTGGTGCTGCCCTTCCCGCCAGCCTGCGTCACACAGGCACGCTCAGATATCCCGCATGGTCTTGCAGTTGTGTGAATGCTCCGTACTTGTAAAACGGCTTTAGAAGTATCTTTGTATTCTTAGCATACCTGAAAATTGATTAACCTGTCCTTAAAATAATTAATTGTTTCTTAATAAGCTTTTCGAGTCTGAGAATTGTGGCTTGTCAGCCTTAGGATAGACGAGTTCTAATGTTTCACACAGTGAAAAATCCGGGCGCTCGGGGCTGACTGGTGTCCTCGCGCTCTGCTGTCTCGGGTCCTGCTGCTGCCCGCTCCCCTGCACAGTCAGAACACCTGGCTCTTCACGCTCCCAGCCACGTCCTTAAAGCACATCTAGGTTCTCTTGGCCTATTTCAGCGTTGCAGAAGTGCTGTGTTGGCAGATCACGTGCAGAGTTACATTTTAAAGTATGCATGCCTACAAAGGGAATTATGTTCGGCAAGTGTTAATAATGTCCTTGCCAGATTGAACGCACCTCACAATAGAATAGGGGGCTCTTGTTGCATAGGAGTCGGAGAACACAGGCTGGTTTTATGTTTGTGTTCAGGACAGCATATGCGCACCAGGGCATTTGTGCTGCAGTCAGCAGTGTTTAAAACTTTGTATTATGCTGTTATTTTTTCCCCTGGAGGGTATTATCAAAGACCCCCTTCTTTTTGATGTCACTAGATCATATCTTGAAGCTTCCAGAAAGTCCTTGGCACACAGGATGCCAGCAGCCCGGGGAGAGAGACCCACTTCCATGTCAGGGGTTCCAGCACAGTGTCAGAAAGAATTCCACAAAGGAAATCTCACGCAGGACTATCAAATCAGTAGTGATTTTTTTGCTTCTGGCATTATTCAAGTGATAAAAAGGAATGACTAAATCCATCTTTGCATTTGCTGTTCTTGGAAGTTGATTATTGCTGCAGAAGGAAATTACCTTTGTGATTTTATATTTTTCCTGACAAATTGCATTGATTCTTGTATTTGCTGTTCTCACCCTTTGCTGGCTAAAGCCTGACTCTGCTTTCCACCTGCTCAGCAAATCCAGGTGAGTGACGCACAGGGGACTGAATGAGGCTGTGGCACCCTCGCTGTCAAGGGGACGTTCCCCGTTTGAGGGTGTCTAGGGCGAGCGAGTGCCATACACCCCTCTCCTCCGTCAGCTGTTGTTGAGAACTGTTGATATTTTGATCCGATTCCTCGTGCCGTGCTATGACTGAGGGATTTTTTTGCTGGCCAGTCATACAGAACCGTGAGCGCACGAGAGGCACGCTTGGAGAATAGCTGTGGTCCCCCGTGGAGTTGTTGCCAAAATTCCTTTTTCTTCTGCCATTTTACTTCTATGGTTGTTGATTATTTGTCTGAATAAATCTGGCAGCTGTTTGCTATGTTTAATAGAGCAGAAAGGCTACTCTGAATAAAGCTATTTGAAAATTTGTTTATATGAAGTATTTGTAAATCCTTGCAAGCCTCTTGGCATTTCTATATCATTCTCTCTGTCTTCCTGAATTCATTCTGTGATGTGGGACTTGATGCTGGCAAATTGACCACAGTTTTAAAGAGTCTTTTCAGTAACATCTTTTTAAGTTAGATTTCAGCAGGTTTGTTAATAGAGGTCTCAATTCTCGACTTCACACATGCACTTGTGCCTAGGAAGAGCACAGCTTTTCTTCCAAAAAGACATTTGGAGGCTTATCAGCGACAAACCACAAATTAGAATAAAAATCCGTTTTTTTCACATTTTATCAATCTAGATTTCTAAGAGGAAATTTTTACTTTCCCGAGCAAATTTAAGAAATGTTCATTCGTTATTATTCCCTAGCTTTAACCTGGTTTTCTGTTTCAAGTAAAATTAATTTATATAATTATTATCTCATTTCACAGAACATGTATTTTAAGAATCAATGCCTTTATGAAATGTATTAATTAGAATTTCACTAAAAAATTATATAAGTAGGAAATTGGAGTATAACTATTTTTATTGCAGAGATTACATAGTTGAAGACGGTGTGGCATTGAAAGTGTTCTAACATATTGTCACATGCGGCCTTTGCTTTGCTCAGCCGCGTTTGCAGGTCAGCTGCCGACTGGCATGGACAGCGCCGTGCCTGTGTGCTCTGCCTTCACAGGAGTGGGCCACGCGTGGTTGAGCTTTGAGCAAAGCTAGGGGACAGCCTGGCCAGGAGACCACTGTACTGCTCTAAATGAAACAGGCTGCTTCCTACTTAGAGTTTTTGATTTTGATTTTTTGAGGTTTTTGTTCTAGAAGGCCTGTGCCAGTTACTAATTCTAAACTGCTTCCTCTTGCTCATTTCTTTTTCTTGCTGATTAAACTTCAAATCTAAAACCTTGAGAAATCTTTTTGATTTTTAGATTCCCACATTGTTTGGTTTGCATTTTAGTGGTTCATTATACCTGATTAACCTAAATTAAGTGCTGTACCACTGCCTGTGTTAACATTCAGATGAGAATCCCTGCATTTCAGTTTTTCTGATCACTCTACCTGCATTACTTAGGAACAGACTATGGTTTAAAGTCTTCTTTTTGTAGGAGAGAGTTTTAACAATGCCTTGGCATGTTTTTCTTCCTTGTTAATTTGAGACTACCTGATATATTTTCATTTAGAAATACCTGTGGCTTAAGAAACCGAAATGTTTCCTTAATTTTATTATGATTTATGCACGCATCTCGTGGGTTCCTAGCTGGCAAGATGCTAATTCTTTAAATGGTCAGACGTTTACTGTTTTCTGGCCCTTAACTACCACAAGCAATCATATTTGATGCCCCTTAATTAGAGCACCTTTTTTTCTTCCCAGGTTCTTTTTCCACCTCAGCAATCGAGACAATACATTTGCTTACCATGCTGCTCTCCTAAGTGTTCTTTTGCATGTAAATTAATCTTGATTCAGTTTACACTGTCATGCTGAGTGGTACAAATTGCCTATAACAATAAAACAGCATGAGTTAAAAATAAAGGGGGGTGGAAAGGCAGATTGAATGTGTGCCTTACTGGATAGGATGTTACTTTGCTTTATGCCAATACATTAGCTGACGATAATGAATCTTCTGTTCTGAAAAGCATGGTTTAGTTGATTTTTTTAATTTTACTTCAATGGAGCAGTACCTTGTCTTTTATAGAACAAGTTAGACAAACCATTAATGACAAGAGTGTTAAGGTTAAATATGAAGCAATGCTTTCACTTCTCTGAGTGCTATCCATCTTTCCATTTACAGGAGCTTGACAAAAGTACTGGCTCTGTACAACATTTCCTTTAATTACATGCTGTGGGAAACAGGCTTTTAACATAAACATAGTTGCATTCATTTATTCAGCAGTTGCTCTTCAGTAGAGCTTAATGGAGAAGGTTTAAATCCTAAATGAGTGCACGCATCTCGGCAGCGTTCTGTCAGCCACCGTGCTCCCTTAAAAGCACTGTTTGACTGCTAGTGTCGTTTGTTAAGCTTTTCCCTAATATTGAAGTTAAACGGTCTAAGACAGAACACTGTGTTCCCACAATTTGAAAGTGGTTTGTAAGAACTGCTCCCTGGGAGAACTTGGCTTCCGGTCTGGGGGCGTAGTCTTGCCCTGTATTGTTCACTGCAAGGATTCTTTAAAATGCAAAGTTGCATTGTAAACAAATAAATCAAATGTATATCCCTGAAGGCATATGATCTTTTGAAAAGATGAAATCAAATTTTACTATTTTTCCATAGACTATTGTTTACATAGCAAAGATCTCAAAAACTTACTGTTTTTACTAGATTATATTAGGCATCCATGATTTTTTACCCAGCTCCAAATAGGTGGTATGTACTGTAATTATTTTGATTTTTTTTTTTTTTTAGACCCTGATGTTAAATTTCAGATCTGTTGCAAGAGTCTGGTGTGCTGCTGAGTTTGTTCATTGTTAATTTTTATCTGAAATTCTGATGTTAACAGCACATCTTTATACAGTTTTGTGTCATGATTTCACTTAGCTTGTTTTTTTTTTTTTGTTTGGTTGGTTTTTTTTATTTGTTTGTTTTCTAAATATTATCTGAAATGCCTCTAAGATTTTTTCCCTTTGTTTTTAGCCCTTTGTACTTCAGGAGTTTTCGCTTGGTGGATAGCTGAGGTCATTCACCTGCAGGAGTGACACTCACCAGGTCTGACTTAGACACCTGTGCGTTGTCCAGAACAGCACCGCCGTCGGCTCCAGCCTCGCTGAGCTCTGAGCGGTCAGTGGGGACTGTCTGTCAGGGAGCCAGGTGCTCCGGCCTCGCTTGGACACGCTCTCCCCGGCGTTTGGCAACGACAGACTGTTGAGTGTGTAGAGGAAATAGTGATTGTGTCTGTGATCCTTCAGAAGAATAAGCTAAGAGAGTGTTCTTAGCAGCTTGCATCTGCCAGACCTGGGTGCATTTGTAAAAGAAATAAACTGCAAGTTTCATATTGTGATTTGAAGTTTTTATCCAGTGATACTTAAAACAATGTTTTAAGGGTTTGTTGTTGTTGTTTGTTACCATGATTTACAGAACTGTGAAGTGGTGATTTGTTGTAACAGGTGGTCTGGTGAAAAGGAGCCTTCTTCTCGTTTTGCAGGGTTGCTCACAGGAATGAACGAGACCTCGGCCCTTGTGGTGGCTGCGCCCCAGAACTTCACCCCCTCTGTGATTCTGCAGAAGGTTGTGAACGTGGCCAACGTGGGTGCGGTTCCTTCCGGCCAGGATCACCTGCACAGGTGGGCTCACGGGCACGCAGTGCGTGGGACAGTCTCCACTCAGGGTCCTCCTTGGAGATGACAGCCTCTAAACGCAGGCAGACGCTGTGGGGTTCAACCCTTCTTTCCCGTTCCGTCACATCCCTGTTACCGGGCCTTTTGTGGAAGCTGCAGCGTGTCCCCCTTTGTAATGGCTTGGTCATGTGCAAAGATGCCTTTTGGGCGGTGGTGGGGAGTGTGTCTTGTTTCACAGATTCTGTGTCTCTTTGAGATGAGCTACCTTCTAGAGAGGAGAAATTGGACTTCTCAGTCGAAGGGGTGGGGGTCATGCTGGGTGCCCCTAAGGGTTTCCTTTGGGCTGCTTTGTGACGGGGAAGCGGGATGTGGCCCAGTGTGCCTTGTGGTTCTGAGGGCAGGGCTGCCATCTCTGCCAGCATCTGAAGCATGTCCTGAAAGACAGCAGGAAATATGCTCAGTATGTGTGCCAGTGGCCTCCAATGAAGGTAAAAACAAAAGCAATTACTCCCTACCTCAAGGTGGGGGTTGCTGCAAAGTATTCCATAAGCTTAGGGATGTTTGTTACAAGCCATCACATGCATATTTCTGCTATTAAAATATCTACACATTGCTTTCGTGTATAATTGTCACTTATGGAAAAGACATCTAGAATCTTAGGAAAGTTTTCAGACCTTCAGGTTTTTTTTTTCACCTACCACAGGAACAAGACAGACTCCCATATTTAAAAGTGCTGTAGGTGACATGGATTTTGGTAATTTTGAGCAAGTAATCACTTTCTTCTTTTGAGCTGTAAGTATAAAAGTAAATGGAAGAATTGAGGTGAAATGCTAGAATGTGTGGGGTAGGACATGGGGCTCGGCATTAGAGGGGCCGACCTGCCCTCGCACAGTAGGGCGTGGGGCTCAGCATTAGAGGGGCCGACCTGCCCTCGCACAGTAGGGCGTGGGGCTCGGCATTAGAGGGGCCGACCTGCCCTCGCACAGTTGTTAATCTGCTGATTGGGAAGATGGATAACTGTGCACATTGGTCAAACAATTTTGCCTTGCACTTTTTTTTTCTTTTGATCTAAAAAAGACAGGAGGTCCCTTTTGTGAGTTTCGCACAAGATGTTCTCTTCAGTTTCTTGCGTAGCAAGCCTCGTTGTTAGTCTCCCCACCTAAAGGGCCATGAGTGAGACTCGGATGGCGCCGTCATGGTGTCAGTGCCACCTCGCAGAGCTTGTCTCGTGGTGAATGTTGCTCAGTAACAGAAACATTTCCAGTGAAAAGGAGTGCTTTGTTTCTAAGGTTTCCTGTTTTAATTTTCTGTGCGTTTAATCCTAATTTTTACTTTCTTGACTGTGATTTTCCTTTTAAGCAGCTGTTTTCTTTTTGTGGGCCCTTGAAATGACTAAACTACTAAAATATCTGTCTAGCTTGATCAGATGCATCCAGCATCAAGCACCGTTGCAGCATATTTTTTTTAGATTTATTTGTTTGTTTATTTTTGTTGGGAAGTCGGATTTACAGAGACATAGAGAAAGGTCTTCCGTGCACCGGCTCACTCCCCAAGTGGCTGCAATGGCCAGAGCTGAGCTGAGCCAATCCAATCTTATTGGAAGCCAGGAGCCTCTTCCAGGTCTCCCACTCAGGTGCAGGGTCCCAAAGCTTTGGGCCGTCCTCAACTGCTTTCCCAGGTCACAAGCAGGGAGCTGGATGGGAAGTGGGGCTGCCGGGATTAGAACTGGTGCCCATATCGGATCCTGGCACATGCAAGGTAAGGCCCTACTTATTGAACTTTTTATGTAGTAGAGCATTAACTCCTTGGCTGTAGTGTAAATTATAAATACATTATTTTAGCAACTAAGAAAGAGTGGGGGAAGGAGGAATCTTGGGGCTTCCTCTAGTGGGGACCAGGATCAAGTTGTGACATCCATGCTGAGAAGAAATTTGGGACACAGAGGATGCAGAGGTGAGATGAACCAGTGCACGTTTTATTGAATTCTTCTGGAGCAACTTATACTAGTTCTCTTGCAGGGAGGCAGGCAGATAAAAGTTACTAGTTAACTAAGCAATAGCATACAAGCTGCTCTAACGATAGATCGCAAGGGATTTGGAAAACAATCAGCAGGTCGCAAGCAGCAGGATAAATAAACCAGGAGCAATGCCAGTAAACAAACAGGAAAAGGGATCCAGCAGAACTTTGTACCACTAAAGAAGGCAGTGATGGTGAAGACGCCTCCACCTCCCAAGGCACGCCATGCCAGCAGGGCGGGCGCATTCTGGGCAGGAAGTCAGCTTCCTGCAGAATTCTCAGTCCACGGAGGACGTCTGACATGCGTGGTGCTTGAACGGCTGTTTTCTGGGCCAAGGGGCAAATCTTCTCAGTTAATAAACCTCAAAAGAGAGAGGAAAGGACTGTTACCAACTTCTTAGAATTGTAAAAAAAAAAAAAAAAAAAAAAAAAAAAGTAATTTAAAATACATGGAAAATAAGTTTATGTATTAATTTATTTGAACAGTAAAGCAATTAGAGGGAGAAAGAGATCTTCATTGTACAAATGCATGCCTTGAATGGCTGCAATGGCCCAGACTAGGCCAGGCTAGAAGCCAGCAGCCTGCTCTCCACACTGGTGCCAGGGGCGCAGGAGTGCGGTCAGAAGCGAAGCAGCCAGTGCTGCAGCCAGCACTCCCACAGGGAACTTAACCTGCTGCACAGTCAGGCCAGCCCCTTAGGGTATCTGCAGTGACAGCACTTTCCCTGTGAGCTGTCATGTGAGATGGGGTGGGGTTTTCCACTTGTAGCATCATGTCAAGATGCAAGAGATTCTGCTGTTGTAGCAGTTCAGATTTTAGACTTTGATATTGTGGCTACTCAACCTGTGTACCACTGGCAGACTCAAACTTGTCCTCCTGCTGTTAGAAAAGGCTGTTATCTGAGAACCATCCTTGGTCATTGTGCCGGTTACCACATTGGGGCTGAGACAGAACTGAGAAATCCTATCCTCATCCAAGTATTTATGTGACTAATATCTTGAGATATTCTGTATTTAAGACCTTTGTTTTCACTTGAAAAAAATTAAAGAGCAGGAAAGTCAGAGAACTGCCATCAGCTCATTCATTCCCCAAATGGCCACAGAGTCCAAAGCTGAGGGAGTTGGAAGCCAGGTGCCAGGAGCTTCCCTGGACTCCCACATGGGTGCAGGGTCCCAAGGCTTTGGGCCGTCCTCGACTGCTTTCCCAGGCCACAAGCAGGGAGCTGGATGGGAAGTGGAGCAGCCAGGACACAAATCAGCGCCCATATGGCATTAGCTTGTTCTAATGCCACCACACTGGCCTCTGTAAATGGTGTTTTGTTTTTTCAAAATTGACTCATTTGGAAGGCAGAGTGACAGAAACGGGGAATGAGGCACATGCTCTGTCTGCTGCTTCACTCAGCAGACAGCTTCAACATCCCAGGGCCAAAGACAAGAGCCACAACTCCAGCTGGGTCTCCCCCGTAGGTGGCAGGAGTCCAGGTGTTTGGACGTCTTCTGCTACCTTCTCAGGTGCCTTAGCAGGAGCTTGACCAGAAATGGAACAGCCGGGCCTTGAGCCGGAGTTCTTACAGGATGACAGCTTCATAAACAGCTGCTAACCTGTTGTGCCCCAGTGCCAGCGTGGTAACAGTCTTAAAGGGTATTATTTAAAATGACAGCAGTGAATTAACACAAAGAACATGTCTGCAAATGGCAAACCAGCCTTACTACAGTGGATGAGTGGGTTGTGAAGGGAGAGGTGAAGTTATAACGTGCTTTAAAGGAGGAGAGGAAGCAGAGTAACTAGTGTGGAGCATAGGGTCAAAGAGCTTGGAGTCTCTGGGGGACCCCCGAGGGCCATGAAGAGGCCAGTGCTGCGTTCTTGGGTCCTGTTGCATTGCTAATCCCCTAGTGCCGGTGTAACCAGAAGGCTCCGACATCACTAAGATCGTTCCTTAGGAACTCCTGTGTGACAGATTCCTGGAGCCCATGCTCAGAGATGGAGCTCCAGGGCTTCTAGAAGGTGACCATGCCAGGCAGGGTGGCCCTCAGCTTTGGGAATAGGGCTGCATGAGACAGCACTCCAACATGGCAGTGCTGGCGATGGGGAATGACTGGAGCATGGGGCAGGGGCAACACTATGGCAGCACCATGGTGTCCGGAAAGCAGCCTTGGACCATGAACCATCCGAGTTTGTCTTTTAGCTCCTGTGCAGGATTCCCAGGGGTTGCCTCACCAGCTCCTCTGGTTGCCCCATCTTGAACCACAGACCAGTCCTCTAAGTGTGGGGGTGAGTGAAGGGAGGGTGCTTCCCTCTGCCAGGTCCCTGCTTACTCCTGACCCCAGGGTAGCTTTCACTATTGCGTTCACTACTGAGATGTGTTTCCCCTAAATATGTTCATAAGTGGGGTGGTTTGTTTGGTTTTTTAACCCTGTTACTGTGAACGTTTTAAATATATATGTAGTCTTAGAAAAATATGTTTGGGGGCTAGCATTGTGACAAACAGGTTATGCTGCTGCCTGCAGTGTTGGCATCCCTGTGGGCATTGGTTTGAGACCCAGCTGTTCCACTTTGAGTCCGGCTCCCTGCTAATCCAACAGCGAAGCTCTGGAGAAGGATGGCCCAAGTCCTTGGTCCTCTGCAGGTGTCATGCCTGACTCCTGGCTTCTGCCATTTGAGAAGTGAAACAAGGTTTTTTATCCTCCTTCTTCCTGTCGCTCTCTAACTCTGCCTTTCAAATAAATAAAATAAATCTGTCGGGGGTAGGGGCAGAGAATGTCTTTACTATTATCACTTAAATTCTTAACTGTCTGGAAAATGTGACACCATGCATGGAACAGTGTGTCCATGGCAGCCGGGCACTGCACTTTTTTACTTGCCAATACATATAAAGATAGGTCATTTTAAAAATAAGCTTCGTTTAGTTTCATTTAATTTGAAAGGCAGAGGAATAGAGAGAAGTCTTCTATGTGCCCTGTCACTGCCTGAGTGCTTACAGCAGCTGGGA